TGCAAATTTTGCCTCAAGTTATGTTCAGTGAAACTCAGCAGAAATATTACACTACAACTTGAGGCAGCTTTCAACAGCTGAAGAATACATGTTACAGCTTTATAAACCTCTCCTCATCTCAGAATTCTCGTGATTCAGAAAGGATGATCATGAAGATCATACATAGGGCTTATTCTGCAAGCAAGTCAAGGGCACAAGTCTTGTCTGTGGCCCTACATTGTCAGTGAACGACTCAAGGGAGAGAAGACAGTACAATGAGCAGAGAAGCAACATGGCAGATAAGAACCCTAAGAAAAACAAATTAAAAGTGTTTTGTTGTGACCATCAGTGAGCTGAAGAACAGAACACGTGGAAGGACAAGGGAAAAAGAGAAATAAATGACAGAAAAAAAGAAGAGAGCAGAGAAAGGATAGCACCATGAAAATAAAAGAAAACACAGAAAAAAATAATAAATACACAAAAAGGCATTGCTTTTAAAGTAATAAACATATGAGGTTCTTGCAAACCCCAGTCATTGACAGAAGCTCTATAAATAAGAGATATCAAATACTTAAGCCATGCATACCTTCATCAATGGGTTCATACTTCGAAATAAGTTCAAAGGCAGTTGCTTCAGTGGCTTCAGTGTAAAACTGTTCTTTCACAAGAAATTTAATGAGCTGGCTGTCAGGGAGAATTTTGCCGTCTGGCGAGTAAGCCCGGAATAGTTCCTGAAATTCAGATCTGTGCACAATAGCTCGATAAATTGCCTTGAAGTCTTCCATGCTAATTATATGTCCTGAGTGTTTGTCAACTGTTTTCTGGAAAAAAAAAAAAAGCAACCAAAAAATCCACCACAAAACCCAATCAATACAAATATATGCAACAACACAAAGAGACACACAAACCACTTTATTCTAACTGATCATAAGAGCAAGAACCAAAGAAGAATCCTCGGGCAACAGTGTGTTATCAGATCATATTCTTTAACTTTTAGATTTGATTTTGTGTGGTAAAATATTTTATACAGGTTAAAACGGACCATATAACATAATTAGTATCTAAATAATTACAATAAATTTATATTTAATGTGTATGCAATATTAAAACACATTATGCAAAGTCTCTTAAATGGTACAAATTAAAATAAATTTGCAGCATAAAAGTTATCAAGTGGAAAATATATTTAATATAATATTTCTCCAACAGCAATTTAGACCATATTGTAAATACTGTCCATTAAATTTCCATACAAAACACAGCAACCAGTAATTTAAAAATGAAATAAGGATGACCAAATTATCATGAGATCCAAGTCTTTCAATACCTCAGATAAGAAACACTATTAAAGTTTGAAGACAAGGTATTTTATAATAACCTATGACATCATGTTCTATTCTTAACAAGCCAGACTGGTTAAGTTAGATTAATTATTCACACTTTCAGAATTCTTAAACTGTAAGCTTGTTTTTATACAGCTTACAAAATGTTAGCATAGTAATTAATTTCAATGTTCCAGTATAAAAGCCACTACAAAGTTTAAAAGGGCAAAAGAATTTGAGTAGAATACTTTTTTACCATTTCTGCCTTGAACACTTTTCTCAGATTTAATGATTCAATATTTCCTTTAAAATTTTCTACTCAAGTAATTGTGCATACAAAATATAAATATTTCTAACGTTTTAGCTTGCCAAATTAAGAGAAATTTGATGACAAAAATGCTCACAAAAGTCACAAATAAATGGCAATTAATTGCCTCAATGATTATCACCGAAAGGTGATCAAAATTCTTAATTGTTGGCTCCTCAAACTGAGACTACCAAAGAGCCTAAATTTTACCATCTAAAACCTGGCAATTACCTCCCCAAAAGTGTCCATAAACAGGAAATTACTTACTTGAGCTCTGGCTTTGATCAAGACTTTAATCAAGACTTTTGATTATTGCTAAGTTAGATTAGTTTTGAAGCTATACCATAAAACCTAAAAGTTTAATGATAAATTACCAGCTCCTTCCAATGTAGTTCCTACTGTACTTCTGAATAAATACAACAGTGGGGTCAGAACATATTAGATAACGGAAACAAGTACTAAAGTAAATTTCATGAGGAGTTCTAGTGAAAAATCTTATATATCAGTACTTCAGTATTTGTTTTGAGTTTGTGAAAGAGAATAATAATGATCATTTTTAACAGAAAATATTTCAATACAAATGCTAATTACACACATTTCCCTATCACTGAGAAATTCCCCAAGGTTGATACCTTCAACCTGATTTTTAACATCTTTAAGAAAGTTGCAAATTTGCTCATTACTGTTAAAGAGGGAAAGAAAATACCAACTTATTTTGGAAATAAATAGTCTATCAGGACTTGAGAGATGTTCACTTGGGCACTGGCTTGGAGAGAAGCTGGGCAAAAAAATTAAAGTTTCTATCTCACTTGCCTCTTCATGAAATACAGGCAACAATGCTCCACAGGAGAGCTCTTCAAATTAAAGTTATAAAAATCATGTTGCTATAAAAAGATAGTTACAAATTTCTTCTTGGGGGATTTTTATTATTCTTCTTTTTATTAACGCACATCAAATGTTTGCTATTCAGAAAAAGTATCTAGACAAAGAGTCTTGAGAGGAATCATATGAAAATGTATTATTCCTTAAAAATCTTAATGTTAATAATTCTGATATTGCTCAAAGAAGCATTACATTAAAATAAACTAAAGAGGACAGACAAGAAAAAAAAGCAGATTTTTCTTTACAAACTATGTTTTCTATAAAATGTATTTTTTATGTATAACCATTTGATTAACTGTTGATGAGTAGTTACTTACAACAATGTCAGTAAGATTCCCTTTCAGACTCCTTTGTATTTTTACACATTATTACACTGATGAAATATTTGGACCCCTGAGCTACTGAATACACTTAAATTTCTCTCAAATGGCGAAGAATACCTGTAAGTACAGCTACAAATATCTAGATCAGGCTACTGAGCATAATATGTTAAAAACAACTAGATCAGTCTTGTTCTTTGCAGATCACTTCCTCAAATAATTACTCTCTTCTCTACCCACGACCGGCCACCTCTCTCAAACTTCTGTCAGAAAGCAAAGTAGATGGAAAACTGAGGAAACTGAGAAACACTTTTAAGTTCTCATGAGATTCTCAAGGTTGGCAATTCTCTCAATGCAGTGCAAGTTCCAAAACCACAGGAAGCCTCTTTAGCAAGCGTTGAGCTCATGCTGCCGGTTTTACCTTGGCTTGACAAGGCAGAGAACAATGAGAGAGGAACACAACAGAGTGAGGAAATCACAATGCCTTCCCTCTGCCTGTCTGACTGTCAGCATGACATGACCTGAAAGTTTCTGACTCACCATAGTTAATTCTCCTCTGCCAAACTGGGACAGAATCAGCCAGTTGGTTACAAAATTCTCAAAAGAATCACACACACACACACACACACACATATATATATAGCCACTTGGTTTCATTCCCTCAGGAAAAGAGTTTTACCAGACAGTTATTCTGGGGGGAAAAAAATGAGGTAAAAAGAAAAATCATAGAGCTTTTGAGTCAGTACTAGAAAGGACCTGAAGAACATGTAAACCCAGGATGTCCTAAGGCCCCCTCAAATTTGCACTATTTGCTCACTGGGACAATATCCACCTGCTGATAGTTTTCTTCCCTACACTAAATTAACCCATCAGTAAGTCCAATTTCTAGCTGTATCATGTAACCTTATAGAAATCTCTTAAACACTTCCATATCTCTAGGCCCAATACTTTCCCTGGGGGTTAGAGTGCAATTCCTATCCATTCAGGAACACCTCTTAAATCCTAGAGAAGAGGTATAGTGAAGAATGAATGAATGTGTGCTTCATCTATGTTGTTCTGAAGCCCAGGCAGCTCAGACAAGTCCATGTTGTCCTGCTGGCAAAAGCATTTTTAGGAAGTTGCTCTAATGGGTCTGTCTAGGATCAGACAGGGCCGTCTGGGTTCCTTAGCTTGATCACAGAAGAAGTTGGATTAGATGAAACCAGAATATTTTAAATTTTCCCAAGTGTAGACATGCTACAAAAAACCTGGGAATCAAAACTTATGTATTTTCCACCTTACACTATTTTGTTGTGGCAAAGAGAAGGCATTATGTTAATGTTGGTCTTTTCTCCGACTTAATAGGACAGGAGGGAATGGCCTCAGGGTGTGACAGATTAGATATTAGGAAAAATTTCTTCACCAAAAGGGTTGTCAAGCACTGGAACAGGCTGTCCAGGGAAATGTCTGAGTCACAATTCCTTGAAGGTATTTAAAAGACATGTACATGTGGTGTTTAGGGACATGGTTTAGCAGTGGATTTTGCAGTGCTGGAATGGTTGGACTCAGTGATCTCAAAAGTATTTTCAACTTAAATGATTCGGATTCTAATGCAAGCCCTTGGTTATCTATTTTACACAGAAACAAAAATTATTTGCTGATTTTGCACACTTTACTAGCATGAAATACACTTCTCAAAAAAAAATTTCAAAGTCAGCAAATGTAAGACACTTATGTAACTGAACTTCTAAACTTATTTAATTACTTAACCTACATATACCTTACCTTGAAAATATGTGTTACGTGTGCCTCATCAAAAGGTATTTGCATTTTTTCAAGCAGTCTCATGCAGCCCTCTAAATCAATATTCCCAGTCTTGAAATCATTCTGAATGACAGACCAGAACCACGTAAGAGAAATGAGGTTAAGGAAACTTCTGGCCCACGACATTGCTTTTAATAGGGGAAAGAAGGGGAGAAGTTTAGTTCTGTTAAACCTAAGAAGTTTGTGCTTTGCTTTTCTCATACTCTAGAACGTCCTTGTCTTCTGGTCTCTGGGAACGCAGCAGGCTCTGAGGTGTGCAAGGAGAGACTTCTGCTCTGTTCCCAAAGACTCTGAGGGCAGTGACAAGAAGGGCCAAAGGTAGCGTGTGAGGGAAACCAGGGGGTGGCCAGGGCGAAGAAAGGGGTGCAGTGAGAGAAGGGAAATGTGGGGAAGGCTGAAGGGAACGATGGGGAGTGCCAAGAAGCCTCAAGGAGTGAGTGTGCCCAGCACTGCGCCCACTCAACCACCATCAAACTGGCCCCGGCTGACCAGACTGGTTGCCCCTGGCCCTCCCTGACACCCATCTGGGGGTCCCATGTGTGCCCAGGCTGGATCCAGGCCTGGGGGGAAGAGGCATGTGGGGGGTGTCACAACAGCAGCTGACACAGGACAGGGAGAGGAGGAGGAGGAGGTAGAGCAGCCAAAGGATATCTGTTCTCATCCATGCTGGCTGTGCATCGCCTGCTCCAGTGCCTTCACTGCAGTGGCGTTGCCAGAACCTCGCTCCAGTTCACAGTGGGCTCCTCATCCCACAGTGCCCTGTCGGAACTGCACAGAATGTTTGCTCCCCCATCCCGCCGGGGTTGTCCCGGTGCCGCTCTGGTGATGTCACAAACCGTGGGCGCCCAGCACAGGCCCCTTCCAGCCACTGCTGCTGCCCCCCCGCCACCATCTTGTGCCTTTTCCTTCGAGCCCAAAGCGGCCCCCGTGGCCTGCCCTCGCCCGCCATCTCCCACCCCTTGGACAGCCCACAGCCCCAGAATGGGCACCAGGAAGGAGCTGTGCAAGCCAGAGAAGCTCTTTCCTATTTTCAGCCAGCTGTGCCAGTGTCCTGCTGGAGAGTTGGGCCAGCTTGTCCGAGGTGTGCCTGCTCTGGTCCAGGATGACAAGCTGGTGAGGCAGGAGGCTGCCACAGCAACATCCTCACCCTCATCCAAATAAATGGGCACACCGTGATACTGACCCACTGCAACAATTTAGGGGGAAAACCCTTTCTTTGGCCCTCAGGATAAACTCCCTTCTGAATCTGCCCACCTGGGCGGGGGAAGCAGCAGGTTCCAGGGCACAGTGTGATGGCAGATGTGGGGGAACATCCCAAGGGATGGAAGCCCACATGGGTTGCCGCGTCCCTACTGTGTGCACAAAAACACCCCGGGCAAGAGGAGCTGTCTGTGCCCTGCTTTGAGACCCACCAGTATCAGCCTTCAAACCACTGGAACAGCCTTTGGAAGTCAGACTGGACTTTTGCCCTGGCTCCACGTACCACTGATGTTACAGGGATCCTTTTCCTCCAGGCACGCTGCTTCGAAGTTGCCAGCCTCCATGTAAATGTCAGCAAGCCTGAGAATGAGACTCTAAATGTGACAGACCAAAGGCAGTTTGCCACAGATTTTGTGAAACTTGTGAAAGCTGAGGACACCAAGTTTCATATTGCCATTCTGGAAAACGTTCAGGTTTTGTCAGAGGATATATGAGGGGGAAATCTGTCGAGGAAACTCCCTGTTAGTCACACTTTTAATGAACTGGAATAAACTATTGAATGATCAGCATCTGAACACCAGTGTCTCCAATGTCAAAGTGTTTCCATGGTACTGAAATAAACCCTTTGATATGGTGTCCTAAATATAAAAAAAGAAGAAAAATACAAAATGGGGTTGTTTGTTTGATTTATTTCTGGATCACTCAGGAGAATACAGAAATTTCCATCAGTCAACTACCACTTTAAAAATAATTCAGGTTTGTAGTGACTGGAAATAATTTGCTGTACTTTTTTTTTTTCATTTACTTCGTGTACTTTTCAACTGCTTTTAAAGATACTAGTAGTGGTCAAAATGTCAAAGGCAGGTGAGTCAGCAAGCAAACTCTTACTTTCCTCTGTAATTTTAACCAATATGACATTCACTTATGTAACTTCATACTAAATAAAGCACTGGTTATAAGGAAAGTTGGTAAGGTAGGTTGGCATTGTATCCAGATTTTTTCATTGGTACTGTGAAACGCTGTAAATTCAGCCTCCAGGCTTGGCTTGTACATACCTCTCTGCATGCTCAGGAGACATCCCTAACACAGGTTCATGAACAAAGGGAGATCAGTACACAGGAGGAATAAATTTCTTATAGCTAGTGCAGAAGATATTTCAGGACTGATCAGGGCTGTGTGCTGGGTGCTGAGGCATTACAGAATAAAGCAGTGCTACTTCCCTTCTCCCAGTGTTCCTTACAAAGGCCAAAGGAATGTATGTGATTTTGGTTTACTTTCAAACTATGACAGTGATTATTTCCTAATATTTATCACAAGTTATTACAAATACCTCCCACCTTTGCTCTTTTCTGTAAATATAACTTTTAATTACAGTTTTATCAGAAACAAAAGTTAATTTCAAGCAGTGATGTAAACACTACACTTCTAAAAAATATTGACATGAACATTTAAACATTATTTTACGAAGATTTTGCTGTTGTTCATCACTGATGATGGCAATTGCAATGTCACATGGGTTGAACATGCCCTCTCATCTGTGGCTTTATAGCTTCACTGATCAGACTGGTCATGATTGCTTTCACTGTCTTGGTTTAAAAATGTAGAGAAAACATCATGCAAAAATGCTGTTTTCAAGTTTCTTTTTTGATAAAAAAATGAAGATTTTGCATTCGTACTGACCCCTGATTTGGGGGGTTCCATTTTCTATACATCTGGAGTAATGAAGAGGTGTTTAATACAAAAACCATGTTTCTACATCATTCTATATTGTTGATGATAAAGTCATAGGCTCAATTTTTATTAATAAGCACACTAATTTACAAAGCCTTACTGCAGAAGACTGTGTTGCAGTGTTTTCAATATTTGAATGCAACTGAAATACATGAAATAGTTCCTTTGATATATACTGAAATTCTTCAGATTTGCATTGACTAGAGCACATTTTTCATCTGGTCGCTCATCTTTATTGTCATTCAGCGCAATGGTTCTAATCCATGTGCAGGAAGATGCTCATCATGCAGGTTTCTTTCCTGCATCAGAAAGCAGGCTGCTGCCCTTCCAACAATGTCCCTTAACAACACCTTTTGCAGATATCCATTTGTTAGAGAATCTGCACCATGCACTTGAATAGGAAGAAGGTTGGAGCATGGAGAGCATTTTCTGTGCTCCTTTGGTTCTTCAGAGAAAGCTGCATTACCTGTGGGTCATTTCTCTTTTCACCCCACAGCTGCTACTGGGTTCCATCCAACACCAATCCAGCCCTTTAGTGCCCATGTTGCTGCTGGAGAGCATTCAATGACCAAGCAGCTGTCTTTACATGGAATTTGGTTGAGTATGTGATTATTCCTTTATTGAAAGTAAGAGGAATTTATTAAAAAGTGTTATACAACCCAGGGATGCTTTAATGAAGATAGCCTGTTGTGAGTGTAGTTCACATCTGCAGTACAAAATAACAGACGAAATTTTGGACATAAATTTAAGTACTAACAGAAACAGGAACAAAGCACTAAAAATTCTGGATTGTGAAAAAGCACTTTATTCAAACAAAAATGGTGAACATGAACAAGCAATAAGGAACAGTAGAGAACAATGAAAAAGACTGAGCAGTCAGATGACTTTCGCTTTCAAGGTTTATTCCACCAGACCTTACGAGATGCAAATATATGGCATTTTGCAATATACTGTTTGGTACTGTAGAACTCAATTCTCTCTTCTTTAAAATGCAGTTTCTCTATGGCAAAATTGTAGCAAACAGTGCAATAATAAAAACATTTAATATTGTAGGATTACACAGTCTTCCTATCTTCCCTATCAGTCTACCCTTATAAACTTTTCATTATCCTTCCATTTCCTTTCTCTATAGAAGAGGGAATCTGTGAAACCAGAATCTGCAACAGAAGTTGCTCAGAGGGATGGAATTTGGGCAGAGGAAATGTTCTCATCAGACTGAAAATGCTCACTCAGTTTTCACAAGGCCTATGAAATTAATCTGGGAAAGGTAATTCCAATACAGGCTTTGTCATTTTTCCCTCTACCTTTTCCGAATGGGCTTGGAATTTCTTAATTTCTTTTGGAAAGAGGAAACTTGGGGAGGAGTAAACATTATGAGAAGAAAGTGAAGATGCACAACTTCATTGAACACTTGACTGAACTTTTACCTATACACCTTTGTGACTCTGCATATCTTTGAGATTTGGTTGTAACTTCTTACCTTTTTGTCCATACCAGGAGGTTTTTTTGTTGCATAGTGAATACATGACATCTCTCATTATCTTTGTTCCTAAAATAGCCCTCTTTTTCTCTCTACTCCTTTGAAAACAATTCACATTCTTATAGATCCTTGTGAATCCATCTCTTTTTGTTGTCATCAGCACCCTGTATTTTAAGAACAGAAATGAAGGATAGGCATGTGTAACAAAAACAGAAATTCAAGTTGTCCAGCTATATCATGCAGTAGGTGTCCACTGCAGCCAGTACAGGGAATTGGAGCTCTATCTACCTATTTACAATCATAACTATCTGCTGTTAAAGACTTGCTCTGTGCCAGCAAAAACACATTATCATCAGATATCTTTCTGTAATATGCTCCCAATACTGCTTTTTTGTTCTTATCTTTGGTGGTTACTGAGTGGCCATGGTTCTTTTTCACAAGGAGAAGATCATCTACTCCATCAGTTCAGAACAGTTACACAATAAGAGGCAATTTTCTTTCAAAATAAAATAGGACTTCTGTTGAAACTCCATTTACAGGCTTGCAAACTCATTGGAATTATCAAGTCAGTACAAATGTACCTGAGCCAAATTGTCTCAAATTTTTTTTATTTCTGACAATACTTTTGAATCTACCATTAATTGTTGTTGCAAAGAAAATCATCATTTTTGCTATGCCAGTAACATTAGAGCTTGGCTTGGACTTCATCGTCAGCTTACAGCTGCATTAAAATTGGAAGATGCTTAAAATTAGTACTTGGACTGAATATTTAATGTCCACATTATAAAGTTTGCTTCATGTTTTGCTAGTACTACAGCAGGTGGAAAACCTATCAAAATGAGGACACTTAGCAAAACAAGCTTACTCATTTCATTTTCATATTCATTCAAATATATGTGTGGAATTAAAAGCTAATTTCTTTTTAGTTTCAGAACAGATAGACAAATCTGTAATAGGCAATAGAGACTCCAGTTATCTGTTGGTAGAAATCAAAGTCTATCAATACTCAGTCTTTGGAAGAAATTCATGTTTTCCCCTTTACATTCTCCAAAACAGTACTAATTCTTTCTTTGCTTCATTCATGGAATGAAAAAGGCATTTTTTTGTAAAAAAAAAACAGCTTTACTTGTATGTTTTCCAGGCTGTAGTCTGTACTAAAACCTCCACTGTATTTCTTACTCCCTATTCCTTACCAAGTGATGGAAAAGAAAGGAAAATATGATTTTGAAACAGAGGAAATAGAGGTGAAGAAAATCCAAAGAACCTTCTGTCAAGTGTATCTCTCTCACTGATCTCAAACAATCAGTGCATTAATGCTCCAGCTATAGTGAGACCACATTCAAGGATTATTTTCCCTTCTATGGTAAGAATGGTTTAAAATGTTCCAACAAATCTGAAAAAGCAGATTTCGTGCCAAGAGCAAGACAGTTTTCAGGTCTGTATGTCAGCATCCACAAATAGTGGATTTTATAGTTCTTTTTAATGAAAGCCTCAGAGTTACAAAAAATGAATGTGAAATGGTTTCGAAAGTCATTATTTCAAAAAATAACTATTTTGAACTATACAAAGCATACTAACCTGGGATTTTCCAAGGTTACAAGAGGTGTTTGTTACAGAAAGGCTTAGGAATTGCCACCATACAAAACTGAGGGAATAAGATACATAATATTTAAAACTGATGACCCATATCATATTAGGTCATTTATGTAGCAGATTATTCTTGGATGGAACAAACATAATCTAATCTACTAATCTAAAATAATCTACTACATGTCCTTAAATTCATACTCAGAAAATGTCCTGAGATTGTGGGATCCTAATAATTGGATCTGGTTGGACTTGGTGGGATTTTTTGTTTCTATATTACTGTTCCTATAACACATTTGGAAGAAAAGGAAGTGTGGGTCAGCTTTTTTTGTAGATGTAAGTATAGGCCTTTTAGTCCTGAATCTTTATACATAACTAAGGGTCACCAGAACTGCATATGATCCAGGTGTCTCTCCTCAGGGGAATGGAAACCCAGTGTCTAGAATGGCATTAGAGGAGAACTAGTAACCTGGAACAGGAGGGATCAGGGAAAGGGTGTAAGTGGCGGGATGTTGAAGAAAAATGTAAAAAGGCAAATTCACAATTGGAGAAAGGAAATAAAAAGAGACAAGCATTATAATTCCACTGTTCTGGGACTTGAAGAGACAGTTCCAGAAGAGTGGAACTGAAATCTCAGCTCCCTTGCTGTCTTTCCTTCCTTGACTTTGGGGCAAGTCACATTGACTCAGAGATCTCAAATCAGTACTCCAGTATATGCAATCTTCAGCCTCTCTGTACCCAAGAAAGCCAACCATTCTCCCTGATCCCCCAGGTATCCTATCAGAATGCATTAAAATGATAAATAAATAATACAATAGTAAGCTCTTAATAACTGAGGTAGGGAACAATTTAATTATATGTGACACATGTGCAAAGTAGCCACGGTCCCAAATAAAAC